GAGCTTAAAACCACTATGTGAACTAATTAAAACTACCCATCTAACACAAGTATAGAAAACACATCAGAAGGATCACTAGCTTCAAAATAACTCTAACCCAGTCTCAAATACCGACCTTCTGGTTGATAGTTCTGTGTTTGTTTTACCGATCAACCTGCCCTCATCTTTGTGTTCCTTATACTAAGTCATCAGTTTCCAGCATTTTCTCTGAGCATCTAACAATGACGCAGACAGGTTTGCATTGTAGTTACTTGAAAGTCCGGTGCCCTCAGATGCCGAAGGGTGCGACAAAGTGTCTGTAACACAGTAAAGTTGCGGACTGTAAAACCGAAACGATGAGCTGAAACGGACTAAGAATCTCTGTAGAGCTGACAGGAACTGCAGAGTTGTTGATAATACTCTGTGGTACATCACAACAAGCGACATATTTCATGCTACACATGTCATTTGATCCATTGTTGACATAAAATATTGTTTAGCACAGCTTTAAAAATAATCTTTTTTTTTCACTTTTTCAGCAGCAAAATTGGAAGTACAGTCATGTGACATTATATTGCTGCAAAGCGTGTGTGCCGAAAGGAGTTGGATGGTTTGGCATACAAGCATGTGACTAAGAGACTGTGGTTCATGTGGTGCCAACAGTCGACATTGTTTTTTTAAAGTTGATCCTTGCCTTCAAGTTCAAGTGCGCTCATGACCACGAGCTTTCTTCCTAAAACAAGACACACATGGATCATCTTCAAAGGTGTTGGGCGCGTACTGTAGATATGTTTAGATTAACACATTTGAACTTTGTGCATTTATATTGTCGTGTGCAACTCCAAGATTCTGTATTTTGAAATTTTCGGCGATTCAAGAGAAGTTTAAGTTTTGTGTGTTTGAACAGAGTGTCGCTGCATAACGTGAATTTGGTTTTAAGATGAAGCCACAGGTGGATACGTCAGAGTTTAGGAGGTTAAGTCATTTGTTAGTCCAAAGTTGGACGAGTTCATAGCTGTCTAATACGTCTAAGAATTTGGAAAGGACACATCGGGTTTTTTTCTTCTTTTTGTCTGAATTCACCACAGCTGAGTCATTCACACGGCACCATTAATCTCACGCACAGAGAGGTGATGACATATTGTGCGCATGTCTTAAGTGTGTGTGAGTGTTTGAGTGTGTGTATATGTGTGTGTTGACGACTGCAGGAAGAACACCTGTGTGGACGTAGATAGGTACCAGCAGAGATCACTAACTTCTACACCTGCCATTTGAGAAAAACACTCACACACCTTATGGAACATAAAAGGGACAGTGGCAACAAATTGTTTGAATAGTTTTTAAATGGACGTGACATTTTACAACAGTGAATAGATTAGTGAATTTACTGTTTACTGCTGCTTTTATACAGTAACCATTTAGGCTTTAAAGATGAGAGCATTTTCTTGCATCTTGGGAGACATTTATACCTTTTATGGACCTTTTAATGGACATCAAATGAACAGGCAAGATGCAACGAAGAGGTGAAATGATTAAAAGAGAAGATGATATTTTTCCCTCATCTACTTTTTTTGCTCTGGTTATCTCTGCGTGGACCATTACTTGCTGGATCCAAAAGTGGAGATCTAACCAGTCGATGGAAAACCCCACAGAGGACAGACAGAGAGTGAAGAGAGGGGGTGGATGGTGGAGATACAGCAACACACGCACACACGCACACACAAGTCTTCACACATCAGTCAGACAGCCCTCTAGTCAGGAGAACCCCTGGCTCACCTTCACACAGATTCACAGATCACACACACACACACACACACACACACACACACACACACACACACAGAAGTTGTACTGACATGAATCTACGCAGTCACTTTGACTCACATAAACATGCCTCCCCCTCCCTGCAAACACACACGCACACACACACGCACACACACTTCAAAGGAAGATTGTGACCTGACAGGCCGGCAACACTAAGAACCCACATGCAGCTTTTTTTTCTAATTCTTCCTCTTAGAAACCCACCTGTTTCTTACACACTTTCAAGTCATACCTCTCTTACTCTCTTGCCTGGTTTTAAGATCTCTGTGTTTGTGTGTGTGAGTGCGTGTGTGTGTCTGTGTCTCACATACACTCTCAGTCAGTCTACGCATGCTGGTACTCAGGGGCTGTCTGTCTGATGTTCTCTCCGGCTCATCACTGTATGCCCTTATCAGAGGATTATACACACGCTGACCCGTGTCTTAACTAGACACAATGTAGCCGTGCTCCTGCCTGCACAACTGGGCAGATGTAAACCGCAGCACCCTGTAATCTTATCTGAAACATGTTGCCGAGCTGATGAGCCTTTATGCTGGCACCGACCTGGCAATATCTCCTTGATGTGAAATGCAGCTGGAGACATAAAACAATTTCAGACAAATCTGACAGAGCTGGTGTTTCCCCAGTGTCAGGCAAACATAGGCCAGATGTTGAAGGGTACAGGCTGACAGGTAACACCGAGATCTGCTTCAGTACTCTGTGAGGTCAGTCTTTGTTTCGCTCCGATCCTCAGTACGCAGGGGTCCTTTGGGTGTCACAGTAGGGGGTCCAAGCATTGTACTTCACTCACATAACCCCATAAAGCCTGTTAGAGCACTTAGCCTGTGCAAAGTAGAACAAAGGTTACTTCACATTTCGTGGGGGTAGATTCCTACATCACGCATGGTCCCCAGGTAATTCTAGTGCGCCAAGGTAATACGAAAGGTTGACAAGTTACTGAGCTCTCGTAACTAAATTATGCTGACTCCAGTTTCACTCCGCTTTACCTTAATCTGATTACACTTGAATTATCAGAATACCTACAAACGAACGCACTGACAAATAGACACACACATGCGCGGACATTGACAAAACAAGCCCCATTTAGTAGCTTTAGTTCTGCAACTTTTGATCATACCACAAGATTATCATCAGCAGATGGAGTTTGCACAGTTGTCAGAGAATTGTCTTTTCCATGTAGTCAAGGATTTAGCGCCTTAACTGCAGCTTTCAGTTCTCGCAAAGCACATATAGAGTTTACAGTGACGCTTGAGACAGATATATCCCTCTAAATTCTTAGTTGTGTTTTCAAACAATGGGTTCTTAATTCCCCACATTAGTAGTAGCAGCATTGTTTATCTACTACAAAGGGCTTGTTGGCCCATACGGTGGAGTATCTGACATAGCCTTGTTTGCATGCTAACTTTAAATAAGTAAAGAGTCACTTTCAGCGTTGCAGTAGAAAGGGCTTTGAGAATGAGAACGACAGCATGTGTTTGGCAAACTATTGAGTTATACTATTGAGTAAATAATACACATACGTACACACGAATTATCATCAAATTATCAAAAACTGCTAACTGGACCTTGAGGTGAGATTGTTTTCAACTGTTGTTTTTCTACTAAACACAGAGCTGCCTTCAGCAGGCTGAAAAACAATTATCCCTCTTGTTTCTCATACTGTAGTATTTTGTTCTGCCTTAATCATTTCCTAACTCTAGCACCCCTATTTCTGTCTCCGTAGCTGTCTTACTCTCACCTATTGCTAGAGTGACATCTGGTCAATTCAGTCTCGGGTGTCATAAGAAGGAGGGGTGACTCACCGGGGACAGGCGGGTTAAGAGAGAGATAAAGGGATGGTGAAGGGGAGGATGAAAGACTGTAGTGCACTCGGCCTGCCAGTCACTTGTCTAATTGCAGTGTCTGTCAGAGGAAGCGCGTGCTTGTCTCTTTACATTGATGACTTCATGTTATTTTTCTACACCTTTCCCATTACTGCCATCATATCTCTTTCAGTATGGAGCATACTCTTAACTATGTGTCACCTCTCCCTCGGTCTCTCTTTCTCCTTCCTGTGTTTGTGTGAGACATTCTTACAGTCAGTCAGTTAAAATATATATCTGAAGATTCCCAATGATATCACTGAAAACATGGTTACAAGAACAATTTAGAAAAACAAAAATGCATTAAACCAACTTTCTTTTTAATTCTTGAAATAATTCAGTAAAACCAGGCTTTTATTGGTAATTTTGTCTCTCACTAAAACTATTTGAAGGACAGTTTGATCTATAATTCAAAGTTTTATTGTCACATAAATTTGAATTCCTGGTCATGAAGGAATTTGAAGGGTAATGTTTCTTTTCTTCATTCAGTATGGTGGTTCGTAAACAAACTTTACTAGGATGAGATCACAGTAGCAAAAAGGTGGTATTTGAGGTATTGGTGCTATTGTATGGTGAGAAAAGGCAAAGTATGCTACCCTAGTCCTCTATTCATATTGGTTATTATTAAACTTCCCTATTGTATTGTGGTATTGCATGTTTACTGAGCTGGTATATAACCGTATTATGTCGTTTGTGGCTCTGGAGGAGCTGGAGGAGCCTTGTCAATTCTGAGAAAGTTACAAAAGTGACATCACTTGAGAAACTTGAGTATGGGTCTAAAGACTACAGATATTAAATACAAGCTGGGGTTGTGGAGTTTGAAACTTGTGGGAGTTTACCAGGTAAGGAGGGGTTAAAAAAAGAGGTGCATTATGGACGTTTTTAAGATCCAGCGTCTTTGACGCTTGACTAAAGTCAGAAAATCTCCGTCTCTGCAGCATCGACTTGGACCATTCTCTTTATTTTCTAAATATTTTGGACACCAGCTTTAAGGTCCAGGACTTGTTGGTCCAACAACAGCTCCAGATAAGCAGACAAGCAGATCAAATAATAAGCCCAGATGTCCACATGATAAATGGACATATTGCAACAGTGCCCTATTTTGGATTGCCTCATCACTGACCCATATGACACGAGGTCTTTCGACACTGTCAACACAAAGTCTGAAAACTGATATGAATATAAATAACACTGTGAGAATGGAAAGCAGCAGTTCATACGATGATGACACAACAAATAAGAAAATATTCATGGCTTGTTCTTGATATCCTTTTTTATTTCATCTCATACCTGTAAAAATATATTCTCAAAATAAATAAATATATTGAAATAAATATATGTATGTCCTAGGAAACAAAAACTTATAAATAAGAATACAATCTGTCAACAGGTAAAGGTGTCTTTGTCGGTCCTGTGCTCGTTGTTTGACCGCAGTCGGTGGAAGAGCAACAGAAATCCTTCACTGGGTTCTAGAAAGCATCTCTAGAGTTCCAACAGAACACGCAGTATTTCGCCACTGTACACCACAGAACAAGTCCTTATAAAACTCCATTGGATCAGCACTTCTTTGCTTGTTCCGCGTGGCTTTGTAAAAAAGTCATAAAGTTCTGAGCAGCATCTCTCTTTGGAGCAGTTTCAAAGGAGAATCCTTCCGAGCCATCCCAGAAGACTGTCCGTTATTAGTGATTCCCCCAACTCTCAGATTTGTTTCCCAAAACAGACATGGCTGATTTCCAGTGCATGAAACTACTTTTTAGTGTAAACCAGCCAGTGGATTAAGCATTTTTATAAATAATTTACTTAGCAGCCACAGTAGTGTTTTGAATAAAATTAACTGAAAACAGTGGAATTGTCAAGACTCATCAGCCACAGAAGTAAAAAGCAATATACTAGCAGCCAGTTGTTAATCTCACTTATTAGTTCCCACACTTTTGTCCTCTTTAACATGCATTTTTGGACTTGCAGGGAAACTTAAACAAATCCAAAAGTCATCTGTTTAGCCACTGGAGCCTCTGCATAGGCCAATAAAGGGGCAATATTAGGGGCCCAGATGCCTGCGTCTGTCAAGGGGCCTTCACATCTTCCACAGAAGATCCCTAGTGCTGTTAAGTCAAACTCCCCGGCTAGTGTGGTTCATAGAAAGTCTCTTTTCTTCCTCCATGCCATTGGTGGAGAGTGTTGATTTGGAGCACTTTTTATGATCCCCAGATCAACAGGATTTTCCATGTCCCTCAAGAAGGGGTTTAGGATTAGGTGCACTTGGGTTGCCTTTCAGCTCAGACTGGCTCTGACAGGGTCATGGTAATGCCCCGTCAGTCTCAGCTCTGGCCCAGTATGTCCCTGTATAGCTCCGGTACTCTATCCGGGTCTACAGGCCTTGGTAGAAAGTGAGTGAACCTCTGATGTCGCCTTGACCTCGTTCCATCCCGGGACGTCCCATCTTTGTTCAAACCAACAAAGTAAAATGCACCTTTTTCTCCATGCCGGTAGAGGTTGGATGAGTAGGTGTTGTACCAGTTTTCTTCAAATTGCTCCTTAAAAACAGATTCTGCAGAGAGCTTCTCCTGCAGAAAGAAAGACAAGCAGAAGGAAATCTGAGTATAGCAATGCAAAATATGTCACCTGTTGGCAATTGGTTACAAATCGGATATGTTGAGAATTGGCCCAGTAAAGTCCTTTGGTGTTCAGGGTGTACTCACCGATCCATACAGTTCTCCTTTGCTGTTCATGGCGAGGTAGAGGCTACTGTCCACCCCTCTGATGCTAACCAGACCCACAGCTAGACTGATGAACTCCAAAATACCTGCACACAAACATTACTTTACATTACATTAACTTTTCAGACCATTATTACAATGAGCACAATAATATGACTTTAGTCCTGCAAAGGTTTGTTCCACTGCTGCTTGTGCAATATCTGTGTTTGTGACATAATTACAGTAAGAGGCATAAGCTAAATTTAATAAATCTGAAGATGGATTGACTGTGAGACTAAGATTCAACTGCGCTCAGTACAGAAAAATTACAGTAAATAGCTCTATGTATATCCACACCAGCTGACTCTGACAAGCAAGGCTGGGCATCTGGAATGGCCTCTGGCACGAAGTTTGACCAAGTCTCAAATGGAATAAATCAAGTGCCAGAAGTGCTACAGTCTGCAGCACTAAAATAAATCTCTCAGAGGTCTACATTTGATCTACAGTAAGCTGCAGACGTTTATCTTGATGACTGAAGATAAACCAATCTAATCTTGAGAGGGAAATGTGGTAAAAAAAAAAAAAGTGCAAACATGAAATACTCAAAGCAATATCCTGCTAGAAAGCTTATTCATCTTGAAATGAACTGTGTTTCTCTGGATGCATTATAACATCAACTGTTAGCATAAACTACAGTTCAGGGTTATAGCAGCAGCAGCTGCCATCACAGTGGGCTACCTCATGTCCATCAGCATTTGATTATAACCTGTTTGGCTGTTGTTTTAATTCTCTCTCTCTCTCTCTCTCTCTCTCTCTCTCTCTCTCTCTCTCACTCTCTCTGTGTGTGTGTGTGTGTGTGTGTGTGTGTGTGTGTGTGTGTGTGTGTATGTGTTTTCCAGTGCCTCCACTATAAGGGTACCTGTCAGTCTGCTGCATCTTACAAAATAACCTATAGCAGAAATTCTACATCAGACTATACTATCACTACAAATAATCATAATCATAATAATCATAATAATAATAGTTTTTTTTTTGAAGCGATGTGTACCGAAAATGCTGTGGTCCTTCCTGGTGCCCTGCACGGTTCCGTCGGGACGGATCTCCAGGTGGAAGCCGGTCCTGCAGTAGAGCTGCCGCCGCCTCAGAATCCCTTTCAGATGGCTAAGGTCCGCCAGGCTCCGGGACAGCCTTTCCGCGGACACCAGGTGGTCCTGCTGCTGGCCCTGTCCCCCCATCATCAGTCCGGTCACCGAGTTGTAGTCCACCGCCCCAGCTGGTGTGAGAACGAAATGAGAGCCAACGGGAGCCGGAGCGGCGCCCGCGGGGCCAAAGCTGTCCACAAATCCGTTGACGAAGCTTCCAACCTCCGCCGCTGCCCCCATCACAGATAAGATAGCCGATCCGGATCACAGCAAGAGGGGTCCAAGTCGAGATCCAAGTGATGAGCAGAGAGGAGAGCCTCGGTACGTACCAGCAAACGAGGGTCAGCCCGTGATGAGAAGAAAAAGAAAAGTTGGACGTGCTGGCTGAGAAAATACCCAATGAGTGCGTTTTGGCGCATTCACCAGAACCGTTAATTAGTCATCAAATTAAGATTTAAGTCCCGCGCTATATCTTGATGTATGCAGATATCGCAGGTTGCAGCAGTCAGTGTCCCCTCTTCTCTCCTCTTCTCCCCTCTTCAACTGCTATTTATCCCTCTCTCCAGTCCTCTGTCCGCTCCCTCTCTATCCTCTTCACCTCGGGATACTCCCCTTTGCTCCAGAGCACTTCAGGGTTTTCTCTCTCTCTCTCTCTCTCTCTCTCTCTCTCTCTCTCTCTCTCTCT